TTGCAAGGCTCCGTAATTCACTGACAACATTACAGTTGCGTGCCCCTCCGAGCGTCTACGCCGCTGGGTTTGGTCACCGCTGTCGACGGCTGATATACACGGTGACTGGCGTAGCTCCCCTACCTACGAAGGAGTTCTCGGAGCCTGTTACTGCCACTGATTCACGCCTTCGGTCGTTCTATACCTTCACGCCTGGACATGTGGAAGGAGACGCCCTGCTTATAGTTATTCTGGCTGTACTTTAAGTAATTGAAATGAAAAGGGACTGGAATGACCACTGGGACAGCCTCTCTGTGATCAAAATTTTGTCTTCCGGTCTACGTCATGGAGGACGAAAAGCCCGAAAATGTGACCGGCATTGTGCGTGTACAGTTCGACTTGGGACTCCAGTCCCAGTCCCTTCCCTCTTCATCCATTTCTCCTCTCCTTTTACTCCTGTGGCCAGAACTTGTACTTGCCCGCACGTTAATGTCGATGCAACTTTCCCGGACCGACGCGTACAGCGCCAACAGTTTTTTCACTGAGGCCTCCATCGATCGAGGGACATCTCGTTCGTTGGCCGGCCTTCTCACCCGCACTGCACGCTTTGAAGTAAGTAGGGCCGTGTATGTGGTACTGTGATTGACGTCGCCTGCAGCGTTCTCGATCTCGGCGAGGGAGGGAGAGTTTGAGTTGGGTAGAGCGATGGTGAGAGTAGAGGGGCGCATTGGACGACCAACGGGGGTATAGTCGTCTGGATTATCTCGATACAATAAGGATGGACAAGGACGTTCTGAGCTCATGGAAGAGATTCGGCCAGAGCTGGAGAAAGTCGCCGCTCCAGGAAGGTGAGTAGGATAGGAAGAGCTCAAGGATTTCATACAAGGACAACGAAAATGGGGAACAGGCCCGTTCCAGTGGGCAAGGCTGAAGTTATGGAGCCATTTGTAGACCAGATCGAGTTCATGGCACTTGGTCATAGCGTACGCGTGCGCTAGACTCGAGCCAGTCCACGCCTCGGTTGACGACAGTCGATCAACCGGAATCTTTTTCGTCACATAGAGATGTCGCTAGCAAAAGCGAGCATCGTTGTCAAAGTAAGCACAGAAGTAGCAAATGATGCCCAGTGGGACAGCATCGAATTGTGATAGTCGTGGCAGGAAGAAATGAAATAGCACGCGTCTCTTTCCTTCTTTCCATCATGACGACTCCGTACTCTTGCAGTAGCCTTCTTCGTCAAGTCATATTGGTGCAATCTCGGCACTGTGCTCGAATTCTGCAGGTTCGATAATTCATCCGTCTATCGCAATCAAGAAGAGGAGTGACCGTGCTTCATCACTTTCGTTATCTTCCCCTTATCTCTTTCCTACTCGCCATCACTATCATCAACAGTTTCCTACGCAAATAGCGAGCCATGGCCATCGAATCTACTCCTCTGCCGTTGCCCGACTCTGCAGACGCGTCCAGTTTCTTGTCGTTCGGGCGACAAGTGAAAGGCTTTGATCCGACCAACTTCACACAGGAGGAATTCGCAGCGATTGAGGATGCCCTTTACAAGGTGCGTATGCTATTTTCTTGGATTTTCGTTGCCTGAAATCGCCTACATAGCACGACCTTTTACTTTTTCGCAATGTCAACTTGTCCCCAGAGAAGCAGTACGCGCTCAACAGGGTGAGCATTTACGCCTCAAAAATCTTTTATTCGCTGACCTTCGCTAGGCCTTTGAACCGGATGATCCAGTATGCGACGACTTTGGACACGGCAACAACGAGATAGACAAGAACAAAAAATCAATCTTACATCCTGACCTCAAGACCATCCCCCGCGTACCGCAAGTCCAGCTTCTTGGCAACGGGACCATATACAACCACGAGGACATCTCCCAAGCTACGCTCAAGCATCCTTCCCACACAACATTCCACAAAACTCGCGTACCTCCCGAGGACGAAGCGAAAGGAGCAACCCGTTTCTTCAGATGGCATATCGACGCCGCCCTGTACGACAACCGACGCACCCCCAAAGTCACCACCCTATACGCTATCAACGTTCCCAGGGGCCCCGAGCAGACGTGCCGGTACGACGACGGAACGGGTGACGAGCTACCCGTACCTTTGGGCACCACCGCCTTCGTCTCCGGCAAGACCATGTTCGATATCCTCCCTCCCGAGCTCAAGAGTCTCGCCGTACGCTCCAAAGCCAAGTACGCGCCTCTTCCGTACGTGTGGATGACTCCGGCGCATGCAGTGTCGACAGGGTTGGGATTGGAATCAGAGGGACTGGAGATCCCGTACGATAAGCTCCCGCCGTGGGAAGAGGCAAAGCAGATGGTGCTGCCTGTTCTATGGAGAAATCCAGTTACTGGCGAGCTACATCTCCAGGTCCACCCGTGCGCTGTGGTGGAGCTGTTGGTTGACCCGATATTGGAAGGAGGTAGGAAGGAAGGCGCGTTGTACCCTGATGGCGCGCATCTCACGGATTTGAAGAAGGTCAGAGAGTTGCTTTACAAGATGCAGCGACCTGGGATTGCCCCCAAGGTGTGTATTACCTCTTCGGAGGGTCTATCGTTACTTATGGCGCGGTTTCAGCTTGTTTATCCACACGATTGGAATGAAAAAGATCTGGTTCTCTTTCACAATCGAGGAGTCTTGCATAGCGTCATGGGTGCGTTCGACAAGGATCAGATCCGCGTGTTCCATCAATGCAACCTCGCTGCATCCGATAACCCTGTTGGACCAACTGCAGAGGATGTGAAGAAGTGGTCCTGAAGGCGACGGAAAGTTCTGCTTCTCGATATTTGCTGGACTCGGGCTTCTTCACCGAGGCTGCTGAGGAAAACTCTGTTTCATTTCCGGCGCAAGTGGTCCTGTGTCTGATCTCTGCCTCAGCAGAACACAGTGACAGTGATCCTGGTTCGATATCTGATCGAGTACGCACCTCTGACTCTGCCTGTCCCTGTGATGCTACTGGTACTGTAGACCGGCGACATTTCTATTCTTGTTTGATATGATTGCTATATATGATATCTACCATGCCATCTTCTGCCCCTTTTTTGAATCCAGATGAGTGTCAGATACGATAACTCGTGATTCATTCCCAGGGTACGGAAGCACCAGGTACAATGGTCTATATAAAGTCTTCGGCTTGACTTTCATGATCCATGTATAATGACGATCGATCTAGTCCCTCTACCCCTCCCAGCGTCTGCAGATCCAGCAAAATTGGATGACTTTGGACGAGAAGTCAAAGGCCTCCACCCGTCCTATCTTCAAGGAGCCTCATTCGAACAAGTTGAAAAGGCGTTATACACGGTTCGTTCTAATTCCCATGCTACAGTGTTCTTATCGAACATAAACACAGCATGGAGCGCTCTTGTTTCGCAACGTTGACCTAACCCCAGAGGAGATACGTGACCTGGTAAAGGTAAGAGCTCAGAAAACCTTTCCTCTCCCTTCCCTAAACGTCCACAAAAGGCTTTCGACCCCAACTCCACCGCCTACGGACATGGTAACAGCAAAGTCGACCAAACCAAAACGTCCATCCTTCACTCGTACCTCAAAACGATTCCTCGCGTTCCCCAGGTGCAGCTCATCGGACACGGGACTGTCCGGGACCACGAGGGCATCCCTGAAGCCGTGCTCCAACACGCGCACCATTCGAGCTTTCACAAGACGCGCGTATCCGATGAAGACGAAGCACGAGGTGTAACGAGGTTCTTCCGTTGGCATATGGACGCGGCTTTGTACGATCTCGATCCACCAAAGGTGACGGCCCTATATGGGATTCGCGTGCCCAGAGGTCCTAATCAGGTAGTGAGGTACGATGATGGGAGTGGTGATGAGCTGGAGGTCCCGTTAGGAACTACGGCGTTCGTGTCGGGAAAGGTGATGTTCGATGCTCTCCCGCGGGAGATGAAGAGCGTTGCGGTGAGAGCGAAGGCTAAGTATGCGCCGAAGCCTTTTGAGTGGATGAAGGACGCGTGCGCGGTAGAGACGGGACTGGGATTAGAGTCGGAAGGCCGGGAAAAGAGTTTGGGGGAGTTGGACTGGGACAAGGAGAAGATAAAGGTTTATCCATTTGTGAGTTCGGACGGGCATGGTTTGGATAAATGCCGCTCACTGCTTTATCAATAGCTGTGGAAAAATCCAGTGACCGGGGATCTGCACCTCGAGGTTCATCCTTGTGCAATCATGGAGATTTATCTTGATCCAGTGCCTGCCGAAGCGAGACGAGAAGGCACGTTGTATCCAGATGGAGCGCATATAACAGATTTGAAGGAAGTGAGAAAACTCTGTTATGAGATGCAACGGCCTGGTATTGCCCCCAAGTTCGTCTATCCGCATGCCTGGTAAGCTTCCCGCTGAGTGCTTAACAGACTTAGAGTTGACTTGCTTCTCAGGCAAGAAAAAGATTTGATGCTTTTCCACAATCGCGGTGTTATGCATTCCGTGGTCGGCGTCTTTGGACGGGATCAAGTACGCGTCTTCCATCAGTGCAATCTTGCTGCGTCGGACGCGCCAGATGGGCCGAACGATGAAGATATCAAGAAGTGGGTGTGAATAGGTGAATCCTGGACGCGTTTCCTCTTGCAGCATTTGGTCACGGTATATCTAGTGAATTTACAGGCCCACGAAGATATTACATATTGCATAGTACTGAGCAGGCCTTACGGTGAGACACCGAGTCTCTTTGTTAGAGAGTATTACCAAAACGCACCTTCAGTTAAATAAAAATTAGGTATATGTTACCTGTCCATTGTTAAATGTTCTCTGAGTATCACGAGCTCCACGTGAACTGGCCTAAATATTTATTTAAACAGACTCGGTCTCCTTTCATCACACCGTCGTCACTCACAGAGTGAGGTAGAGCTTAATATCGGGATATCGTGAGTATCGGAAACTTTCGCGCAGATTCCATACTTACTCACCTAATGGACCGTACGACCTGGTCAAGGGGCGCATATATCGGCTCTTTTGTGAGTCAAAAAGCGCGTCGTTCATCTTTCGTGGCACTGAGCACGGTTTTATGTATGCTCAGATAGTATGCTGTAGCCGACACGATGGAACACCAAACATGGAGAAAATCTGGATTATCGCTGGTGTCATCGTTGCGTTGTCGGCGCATCCTCCACTGTTGACCTAAGTTCGTATCGTCAATCGTAGTCCATTCTTGCACGAAGATGGCGGATATATGAAATCGAACGCAAAATTACCTAGGCTAGATCTAAACTAAGGACAAGCAACCGTACTACGAGTTTTCTCCTAAAAACTTCTCATACAGAGCTCTCCCTGTTGATCAGGTCCAACGCCCTCTCGCTTCTCGCCTTGATCATACACTTAAATGGTGTCGGGTGACTGCGGAAATTTTATTTAGTAAAGATTCGGTAGCTGAAAGACTTCCTTGCCTTATATTCCCAGCTGTATGCCCGGTGTCCGGTTCGAGAATAACACCATTTTCAGAGTACTTCGAAATATCGAAAACCGCGAGCACCATTGCACATACGATGAATATTGAACTATCGGCCAGCAGTCTACCTGCATTCATTGTCAATGCATAGCTCAAGCACTGGCCTGAAAGGGCGTACCAGGACAGATACTATGATGATGTTAAGTTAACCGGTAATTTCTAGCCACAAGTTAAGAAAACTCACCGACGGCCAAATCCAAACGCAACTTTATAGGGATCAGCTTCCGGTTCCCTGTCCTTCGTTCGAATAAACCTTTCAGGATTGAAATCGAATGGTTCTTTGTATACTACAGGATCGTGAAGCATTTTCCTAACGAAGGTACGTAAATGAGTATGGGCCAGGATCACACCGTCATACCATATATTCGGCAGGACCAGGGTTCCCTTTTTAATGAGATATCCAGAATGTACATCATCCTTTCTGACAGAATGAGGAACAGCTATTTTCCGAGCGTCAGAAACTCGGGTATGAGAGACTACTGTGCCCAGGGCTCACCTAATGGCGCAACAGTATGCCATCGCGAGACTTCAAGGACAAGAGCATTAATATACGCCAGATGCTCTCGGTCGTCAAACTGAGGTAGCCTGTCATTCCCGACGACAGCATCGATTTCTGCCTGCGCTTTCGTTTGAACATCAGGAAACAGAAGCATCGCTTTGAAGAACGCATAAATTGCAGCAACGGTCTAACCGTTGGTTAGATGATGCATTGAACACGGACTGAAGCTTACGGTATCAGCACCAGCTGTTGTGATAAACTATAAAATAGGAGAAACGACATTGAGAGATGATGGACTGACCACCATGCAGAGTAGCTGCAAGCCATTTAATGTCAAATTCTTTCTCCATGTTTAGCCCGCTTTCGAGCAGCTTCGAAGTAAAGGAAACACAGGCCTTTCCGGTGGCCTATAGTACATGATTGTCAGAATATCTTCGCACAAAATGCTGGCAATCCTACCATTTGCTGCTTCACAAAATCGTATATCGTGTCTATCATAAGAAATGTTGTCGAGCGCCATTCTTTGGCTATCTGCTTGAACCCTGCACCAGGGAACCAATCCGGAATATGCCGTACTTAACGTTCGGATTTAGTCCTTGTGAAAGCACAGGTCTATATGGCGTCACTTACACATGGGGATAGGATTGGCAAGAAAGCTACCAGGAGTCATGGAAAGAGCAAAGTATTGCGTCACTTTGTCTACCATCTCTACGAACAGATCATTTTCTTGCTGAACCTCGTACCCATAAATAATCCGCAGCACGATGGCCCCAGTAGTCCTTGAAAATTACTCTATCAACGGCATCTGTATCAACGAAAGTAACACCACTCACGTTCTAATATGTTCGGCCAAATGTTCAGGCTTGTCAGAGAGTCTCTTCAAAAGGCGACGCGTCTCGGACTCAACAATCAGTGAGAATTGCTTTATAGCTGCACTACTCCCAAATTGCTGATGGGTGAGTCGACGTTGATTACGGAAACGGGTGCCAGGAGAGAGGAGAACGAGCGCGTTTTTGAAGCCCACGAGTTCGCCAGCCATTCCCATGACTGGTCTCTCTGAATAAATAATGCTTTTCTTTTCGAGAATGTCAATAGCCGTCTGAGCTGAGTTTATTACAACCATGCGGCGTCCAAGGATGGAAATCGACAAAATGTCACCTTTGAGAAACAACGTGTGAGCACTTTCGGGGTCATTGAAATCATAGTCAATGTTATACCGTATATTTCGCCCCATTTAGCGAAAGTGAGCCATTCTTTTTCCGAGGGTATGTCAAGAAGGTTCCCGGCTAAGGGGAGTCCTTTGGGTCCGGGAGGAAAGGGCTCATTGCGACGGGTTCGGTAGAAAGTAAACCAGGTGGCCGATATAAGGCTGATGATGGCGATGATGATAATAGCAAGGAGAGGGGAAGACTCCATTGTGGGGTCGTCTTCAATTATCCTGGGGTGGGTGGACAAAGAGTCGGACCGCATCTCTTATACTACGCGTTTCTTATCAGCCAGTTGTGGTCGTCTGAAACTGCCACGGGGATTAGAGAATGTAAGTTGGTTTGACTCGGCCCTGATTTCTTTCCGGTACCTTGTCGCCGCGGAGCTAGGAAAGTAGAAGGGACTTCCATGTTCTTGCGACGACATTTTGCATAAGATACCTGGTAGAAGAAAGGTAGATATTATTTATACAGAAAACCAAGTTACTTGCTATGACGTTTGTTTTGGATACAAAATTTAAATAACCACGTATGTATCCCAAAGAATCGCACTGGAACCTAATAAAATTCACGAAGATGACTGAAAGAATGGCTATATATCCGTACCAAATTTGAACCTCAAGTCTCAGAGCAACCACCGTCGAGTTCGGCAAGGCTGGTTCAGGAAAACGACTTGCTCTATAGGCTATAAAACGTCAAAGAACTATCTTTCGTCCTGACGCCGTTCAATTGAGCCTACCAGTACCCACTGGCAGCCGATATGGCGGTGAAGATGGCAGCCGAGAATCATGGTTCAGTGGAGTCAATCGGCCCTCCGAGTCCGGGTAGTAAGTACTGACCAGGTGGTATCGTAGCCTTTTTAGTATCAGGCTGACGCCGGCAGTGCTAGACACGTACATCCACTGCGCGCCGGTATCCAGCTGCAGTGACAGATCAGTCGGAAGGAAGGAAGGAAGGAAGGACTTGGGACTCGTCTAGTCCCAAATGAACAGCACGAAACATGCAACAATCGTAAGGCCCTGGCCTGTACTTTCAGGTCGCACTGGATCGTCTCTAACTGGACCTCTCTTTCGATGAGGTGGGGCAAGGCTTATCTTCTCGTGTTTCACGCTGACCAGGAGCTTCTTCTCAGCGTACAGCCGATCAGCATCCTGGTTTTCCCTTACTGTATTCAACAAAATGGCACGGATCACGTCGCTCTTGATCAGATTCGAGCTTTGCCTCTCTGGATGGAGACTCACGAATTCAAAGTGCAGGGCGTGTACGGCAGTGCCGAGGTGGTAGATAGGATTACGTAGCGTGGTCTGATGGGTACTGTTGGCAGCCGACAGGTCATATGAAGCATACTGCAGCTTCGAGTTCTATGGAACGAATCGGATAGATGTGATGACCCGGTATGCTTCGTGCTAGACAACTATTCCGGCAGAGATTCATACGAACCTCTCCTCGTTGATGAGTCCCAAGGCCTTTTCGCTCCTAGGCTTAATTGTACATTTGAATGGTGTCGGGTGGCTGAAGAAGGTAGACTACAGGTTGAGAGATATCATCTGAACCCGGAGAAAATTAACGCACCTCACAGTCCCAGAAGTAGTTTCTGTATCTGGTTCGAAAACAATGCCACCTTCACGGTACTTCGAAATATTGAAGACCGCCAATACCATAGCACAGGATATGAAGATCGAGGCGTCGGCTAGAACCCTGCCTACATCTTGAATTTAGTACACATTGCGAGAAAAGGTCTGAGAGAGCGCACCGGGGCATATCCTGCATAGTTATAGCCCGTTAGGCTTGAAACTGGCAGTTCACACTTATCAAGGCGGAAGGACCCACCGACGACCGAATCCAAATGACACGTTATAGGGATCGAATTCCGGCTCTTTGTCTTCAGTTCGAATGAACCTTTCGGGCCTGAACTCAAACGGCTTATCGTAGACTGCGGGATCGTGAAGCATTTTCCTAGTGCTCATGAGACAAGGTCAGGAGATGGCATGATACGCATCTTCATACCATATGTTCGCCAATACAATAGAACCTTTCGGAATAAAATAACCGGAATGGACATCATCCTCAGTGACACAATGGGGGATACCTGGAGTTTGAAAGGTAAGCAATAAGTATTACAGATGAATCACTTGTTCCAAACCTGTTGGTGCGATGGTATGCCAACGAGAAACTTCGAGCACTAGAGCGTTGATATAAGGTAGGCGCTCTCGGTCATCGAAGCCAGGTAGCTTATCATTCCCGACGACTGCATCGATCTCTGCTTGTGCTTTTGCTTGAACTTCGGGAAACAAAAGCATAGCTTTAAAGAACGCGTAGATTGACGCGACGGTCTGAAACCTGATTCGGTCAGGCGGTCTGTGGGGGAAAGGAAACTCGTACAGTATCAGCTCCACCTGCGGAAACGGAAGATGAGTCATGGATAAATGCGATTCTTCGATTACCGACCGGCATAAAGAGATGCTGCGAGCCATTTAAGATCCACCTCTTCCTCGGCATTCACACCAGCATCAAGCTGCTTCGAAGTAAAGGAAATGCGAGCCTCCCCGATAGCCTGAAGGCACTGAGAATAACCATGGGTAGAGTGTTATATTCTCACCATTTTCTGCTTCACATAATCATAGGGTTTTTCCACCATATCACTTAGTGTCGATGCCCAGCGTTTAGCGATCCGTTTAAATTCTGCGCCCGGAAACCAGTCTGGAATGTAGCGTACTACACGTACTGCAATTAGCGTATGTGAACAGGTCGAGGTCAAGTAACTTACAGGATGGAACAAGGTTGACCAAAAACCCGCCAGAAGCCACGGAAAGAGAGAACTGGTGCATTGCCTGTTCTGCCAGCTCCACAAACGGATCTTCGTCTTCTTGGATCTCGTATCCATAAGCAATCTGCAGGATGATAGCCCCTGCAGTTCTTGAGAGCATCAGCTATCAATAATACAGTTTAAAATCAACGTCGCCTACTTCCGAATGTGAGTAGATAGATCATCCGGTTTATCAAGCAGTCTCTTCAAAAACCTGTGCGTCTCGAGTTCCTCCATCGGCAGGAATTGCTTCATTGCTGCATTGTTTCCGAAGAGTTGATGTGCTCGCCGGCGATAGTTGCGAAAGCGCGCGCCATACGGCATGAGACCTAGGATTTTCTTCCATCCTACCAGTTCACCACCCATAGTGACGACCGGCCGGTCCGAAAAAATAGAGCTTTTCTTGTCCAACATGTCCATAGCCACTTGAGCCGAATTTACTATGACAATACGCTGTCCAAGGATGGAAACCGATGCGATGTCACCTTCAAACAAACTTCAGTGAAACTGCAAAGTTGACGGCGAAGACGTCTTACCATATTCCTTCGCCCATCGATCGAAGGTAAACCATTCCTTCTCAGAGGGCATATCTACGAGGTTGCCAATGAGTGGTAGTCCCCTAGGACCAGGAGGGAGTGGTGCATTGCGGCGGCTACGGCGAAAGAGGCCCCAGACGAATATCAAAGCAAAGATAACAAGGAAAAAGTCCTGAGCGCTGAAGAAGCCGAACATTATTGGACTGCCTGGCTGACTCGAGAAGGAAGAGAGACCCTCGTACTGGCACAAAACTAAGGGGAATCCCTATTTATATTATCATCAATGCTGCGGTACACCGTTTTATAACCGAGAAATCATCAACCACCTGTAATGGAGTGCAAGCTCCCAAATTGTGCAGGTAAGAGTATTAAAATAGAGAACTCTGATCATAGTACAATTCCTTACATCATGCCGTGGTGTATAGGTGCGCTTCTCTGTCAGAACTGAATACCGATGAACAGCTGAGAAGTGATGGGTAGATGGCGAATTAAATATAAAGATGGCATACCACTCGAATCTGGACTAAATGCATGTCCACTGGCCAGTGCCACCGTTGCGGGACGAAATGAAAATGCGACCGAGTAGTCCGAACGGGGAAAGGACAAACTTTTAGCAGAGGGCAGAGGCACAGCCACAAATCTGTTCTTAAGTAACTTCGACGTGCACGACGAACGACGCGTTAATGCGAGCTCCTGCTGCTCCTCGGTGCCATTCCTACGAGTCAAAATATGCCTGTAATACAATCGAACGCTCCGTGTCGGTGAGCCCTTGCTCTATTGAGGATGCCGGAGTATCGACGATACTCCGAAAGCGCCTTAGGTTAGATTATGATCCTTCATAAACACTGTTTTTGGCGATAAGGGAATAACAGAACTGCATTCAATCTCGCGCTTCTGCACTGGATGGATATCTTTGCACGTCAGGTTATATCCGAGAGAAACCTGTCTTACGCTCCGCTGGGGGGAGGTTTAGTTTCTGTTCTGACCGATTGCCATATGAAAACGGACTAGAGCTTGTGGACGGACCAACTGGCATGAACGGAAACAAGGAGACGATATACTTCTGACCCAAACTTGAAGGCCGATTTCGCTGATGGCGTTGTTAAGACGGGGCAGAATAAAAATTTATCTAAACAAACGGGCTAGAATCTTGCTGGCGACGAAGCTTGGCTTTTCAGGAATCTTAGAGTGGAATTTCTCTCTACCAGATCATGTCTCGACGTTGCATGCATTCTAGCGTCACTACGGTATGCCGGATTAACCATTTTGGTTGGTACCCGTGGCACGTTAGGATCCACTGACTACGAGGAAGCAGTCGAGTTGGCATTTTCTGTCACGTAATTTGCCAATGCACACCGTACCGATGTCCGAATAGAGTCTTGGTCTCCGTCTCTTCAAGTCGTCTTCGGTGGATTAGTTGGATATTTCCGGGACATGACCATGGTTGCAGTCGGACTGCAGTTCTTGGCAGTGGAGCGCGGCAATAACTCTTACCAGAATATCAAAATATCATTCTATCGGATGTATAGGTGGAAACGAGGCTACGACACCGACGGCGTCCGGACTCCTTCGTCTACAACATTCCAGGCCAGTAACTGAGTCTCTACCCTGGCATCTTCTATATCCCCGCGTACCATGGTTGGCGACGATTCTAGGCAGTCATTCTAACCACTGCCAGTGGACTCCACACAAACTCTTTCCCTCGAAAGATCAACCCACTGGAGCTCAAGTCTTTGACAGGTCTGCATGGATACAAACTTTCTACGACGAAGATGCTACCTTCCGGCACCGAACCGTGGAGAAATGTCTACCCAAGTCGCATAGAAACTGGCGGGGTTGTTATGCCTGTTCTTTACATTCGACGCGTTTATCCGAAGCCGCGCCTAAACTCTGCGCGCAGCTGAGAGTCTGGCAACGGTTATCATGGAATATGTATGATGGATTCCATATGGGCGAGGTCTCCTACCATCGTTTGGTAATTATTCCTTCCGGTCGAAGGTATAAGAGGAGGAGAAAATTACTTTCGCACCTCATCCAACATGTCCTTCGCCCGCCTCTCCGTCTTACTCTTCGCCTGTGCCGTGGCTGTCCAAGCCGTGAGTGATTTCGTCTGTGCTGCCAGTCGTTTCGTTCGTGCCAGCTGACAGCATGTTTTAGAAAATCAGCACGCAAGTTGCTCGCGATGTACTCTTACTCTCGCTTTTAATAATGCATTGGCGGTGCTCATCATCAATGTTAGGACTCTAGTTGGACAGACGACGATGCATTCCAGTCAGCTATCCTCAACACTACCAACTCGTACAGAAGCGCACACGGTGCCGAC